GAAAGGACTCATCGATGCATTTGCTTTGAAGTTTGGAATAATTGCGAAATATGTTGACAATGATGACTTCTCCGAAACACTGGAACAAGTAAAGATCTTCTCATCCAGTTCTTGTCAGATTTTAGATATGCAAATGGTATGAGGCGAGACGTTATTGGCCGAGTCAAGAGCACCCAGCATAAATAAACATGCAATTAGTTAACTGCTGAATAGATTAGCACAAAAGCGGGGATGATAAGACTCGTCTACCCCATGTGGGGGATAAGCGATGACCAGTGCAGTGACTTTAGCAACGTAGAGTAAATTGGGGGTTTAAATGTGCCTCAACCATGCTGCGGCTTGACAGTTATGCTAGTATTTCGACTAAGAGGCCACCTGGTTGCATCGTTCGGGAAGTCATTTGTTGTTGAGCCCTAAAGGCACTACTATGGCTCTAAAGTATTAGGATGCGGTGAAGACGTATGCCCTCACTGAGGTGGAGATATGAGTCAGCACGCGCTACCACCAATAGGCATAAGGTCAACCTGCAACTACTTGCACAGACGTGAAAGTAAATACCACTCGTTTTGTAGAAAAGATCTTTAAAAGTTAGCTGTTGGTGTTTAGACATGCAAAAATACCAAAGTTTGATCGAGATTGTTGAGATGTGTTCATTTTCCAATGGGATTTACTACACCCGTCGAGCGTTGTCAGTGGTGTCCATATTCAGCAGACGACAGAATGGTGTGACGCGACCTTGATATCCACCAATTTTCTGATCTCATTCTTCTGATGACTGCCTGGTCGTCAGTCTAGGTCATTCATACCCCGCTTTTTGTGGACTCTTTACGATTTTCACTAGGGCCGCAATCACTACTGACCATAGGTATATCCAATTGAACGCAATGGTTGCGGTTCGAGTTTGTCTGCCTTATGAACCGAGTTTAGCTAGATTTCTAGGCTCCTTGAGCTCATCGTCAATTCCAATATATCACATTTGCTTAATCCATTTAAAAGAGATTAATTGGATTCAACTAATATGCTACATCGTCTAAGTATAGCTGCTTCACATTCAGAAAGACCCTTTGCTAGTAGTCAGAATAGATAATTGCCTGCCTTGTAGCTACTGTTCTCATGTACTGGTCCATATTAACAAGTCAGTGATGCTTAACGCGAGTGCAAATTGCGGAAGATAGGCAAATTTGTGTCGCCAAAATGAACGAACAGAACAGATGAGAATACACCCCAAAAGCTATTAAACTATCCATATCTTGGTCACTTCATAGCGTTTACTCACTAATTGATATGTGATGAGAAATAAAATTCTCTTAAATACAGTTATTCTCCAGTCATCCACTACTCAGCCCACATTTCTAAAGCGTGTACGAATTCACACTAGAATGATTACATTTGTTTTTTTCCCTATAGTAGGCTGCGAATCCCATAAAGTTTTCAAAAGCTGAAGACCAGACAATTACAGCCTCAAAGGTGTAGGAGAATTAATTCTTCTTTTTCTGCTCCTTCACCTTTTCCTTAATTGTAAGAGTCAGAGATGGTGAATCAGTGAGAACAAAGTCCTATTCCCATCCATCTAGGACCACGCAAGACCTTGCACCCCAAGGTGATTTCAGTCTAACTTTTAAGAGTACCTCATACCGTAATTTATGGTTAATGGATGATGCTAATCTGTCCTTGTTCTCCATATTCCTCTGGTACTATTTCTGCAATCTCCAATCTCCCCATGATTAAATGCGCAATAAGCAGTAAACACGGAACTAGAAATAGAGGTAGCTAGGGGTAGATTTTTTGCTTCCAGAGGCAAGTGCCCCCATAGGCTTAGAGTTCGTTGATGGCTTATGTCTGGTTAAGGAAAGATGATAAATGGGTCTGGTGATTATTTTCACGGGTAAAATAACCTAAACAGCCCTCCATAGTTGCTTAGCATTTGTCGTAAACTGCGTGAATGTATTAGCCCACCTTTTTTAGCTATTTGCTGTCTCTTAACATTCAAGAAAATTTAAGATTAGCGACTTCTGCTAAAAAGGCACATTTTCTCACAAGCCATGGAACATTCTCTATAGGAGGACTTGCGGAATGAAGTGATATCTTAGAGCTTGCATAAATTTGGTTTGAATAACAGGAAGATGATTTGTAAAGTACAAATACGACATTCCTGTTAGCCTAATCAAATGTGCATGCCTTTCAAAATGCACTTCATTACCAGCGCTTTACGCAGTCTGCAAAAAAAGTGCCTTTAAGCCATTTCTGCGGAATTGCTTTTGGGATTTTGACTCGTAATTTCCAGTATGTAGTAATGCAAATAATAAACACGATCGAGGCAACTGATTAAATCTCGGAAGGAGGGGGCTGTCTCCCTGCTAATATGGACTCTTCGTGAGCAATTTTTGCTACTCTTCAAAGTTAGTAGCACTTTGATCTGCGAAAAGAAAAATGGAGAAAGCATTTAATTTGAAGCCGATAAAGGGCATCCAGAAAGGTCAAACAAGTGCAGTAATTGTGAGAATACTGTCAGTGGGTTGTATTTAAGCCTGTCATGTCAAATATTCCTGCAGTGGAGAGCCAGTGCTACCCATATGGTGTGGAAGTTAGAGTGCGTTTATTCTTTGTACTACAAAAGGGCACTACACTCACATACACACTGATAACGGTGACATAGATTCCGGGAGCTAGAGGCAAAACTTGTGATTCTGATAGACGTAATGTCACAAGTTGTGTGTGAAAACAAATAAACTGGGTTTCGCCGTTTCAGAATATCATCTACAAATTCCTCATAGTGTTACTTTTATCTGGTTTCTAAAAGTAAAGTTAGTGGGTTCTAGAGATTACTTGACCTTACCCAGTTATCGAGATGAACCGGTGCAAAACATATTTTTATCTGCTACCTTGATGATATAAACAATGCTAAGTGAAGCTTTGGCAAGCTTCTAACTCAAGGATCATAGAGTTGCTCAAGAGTTGATTAATTCAAAGGAAGAAGACATCACAGTAGAGTGACTCAGCTAATGGCATGGATTTAACTTAAACATCAACACTGTGTGTTAATTGCTCCAATATGGGATGAATGAGAATCAACGCGGTTATCACCGTGCTGATATTCGAGGTATTTTATGAACTCATTCTCATCCCCTTCCTTGGAGCTTATCTGTGCCTGCGCAACCCAAACATACAGACTACGATTTGTTTCTACTAAAAAGTTTTGCAAACGAAGTCCCTCGAGGAGAGTCTGGGGGTGATAGAACACAGTTTTAAATGTTGCACAGCTGCGTGATCCTTGGAATGCTGACGTGCGATCTGCCTGTACCCCATCACAGATGTTGTCATCGGGGGCTTCTGTCACCGGGATTCCACCCCATGTAACTTTTTAGGTCAACTTTGCTTTACGTTGAGTCGACTCTCACTGCTCATATTTTCTTTTGGAACCCTTATCTTAACCGAATATTGCAGGTAAACTTTGCATATTCTCCACAATTTTGAAGGTGAAATTTAGAGTAGAAATTATCTATGCTTCAGGAGATGTATGGATGTATGTATCCATCTTATTTTTCAACCCTTTGTTGCGTGTTTTCGGTCACAGTTACCAAACTGATGACACCATTTTTAAGTTCTGAACTTTAGGTTTACACCAAGTCACGGCTTTAAACATTCCTCAACCGAATGCAGGCAGCTAAGTCGTGCCTCTCTTTGGGGGCTCAGCCAAAAGTCTTTCGGTCAGATTTTACACCTAAAAGAGCATTTGCTCAGGAAAATTTAAGGCAGAGATTTGTCTTCACTTAAATACAGTGGAAACACTAAGACTGCTGTGATTGGTAGTTCATTAAACTAGCCCTTTCACTTCCTCCATCGTCATTTTTTAACAAGTCATTAGGCATTATTCCTCATTAGTTTCAACGTTGTGCACCAAATGTTGGGCTTAATTGTGCCGAACTCAGATAGGCTAGCGTCTGCCTTTTCTTAAAGGCACTGATCTGCATTTCGTCAACTCGACACGAGGAAAGTAGTGTACATATGGGGAAGTAAGTGCCCTAGACTCTGAATGAACAGTTTACGATCAACTCTGTCTTTTCAAGGACATGGATGTTAATCCCCTAGACTCATTTAATTTGAGACTAGATTTTCGGACTCAGTTGTGTTTTTCGTGAGGTGTGATAGTGACATTCACCACGCTGACTCATTTCCAATCCCCTCTGACCTTAGAACGACACGACCTAGTAAGGAATGAAGTTACGTTTATTCACCAACGTGATGAAATAAAGCCTAGTGAGCTGAAGGCACAGCTGTTCGACGGGACTCAAATCCTGTTTACTGTTGTTAGTACCAGATGTTTGTCAAGGAACATGAGACTAGATGGGTCACCAACTAAATTCCTACATCTGCATACATGTGATTTTGAGGTTTTCATGCAGATGGCTATCACTCCAGACCTTAAGGCCAGTCCTGTTTTAACCATTTGAATACTGCATTTGAAATTCATTAGTGGAGCAAATAATGGGATTTAGATGGTATGCAAAACGGGACGCATTGGGGAGGGTCCGTTTGTTTGAACAACAATTTACCTTTTATTGCCAACTGTCACACTGATCTCCTAGTCAGGAAATTCACTACACATCATAAATTAACCGTCAAATAACTTCGCTAACGTCGGTTAAGTGTGTTTGTCACGTAAACTATTGTAATGGCTCTTTAGAGTATGGGCTGCCACTGTCTAGACCTTTTTTAATCCATTTTAAACTACCAAATAAGGCAATTAAATCAACTTAAAGGTATGTTTTACGGGACCAAGCTTACGTTTTGAGTAGGTTTGTATGGAAGTCTACAAACATGAGAACAAATCCAAGACGCTAAAAAGGAAGTCTAAGCCTGGGAAATTGAAGGGTCTCAGCGTCAAACATGCAATTAAAATCAACACCCTTCCACTTTTCTGCATCGACTGCAAATCAGAACCAACGATCATAAGTTGGTTCCCCATCAGGGCTAGAAGACCTTTGACCCCAATACCAGTGATGACAGTCATCTGTTTCGATGGGCTCATAGGTTCGTCCAGTCTGCAAGATGTACTGCGAGGACTCGCTGACTTTGTGCTGCTCAAGGTGCTTTACAACGAGTGCATGTCAGGTGGCAATGGCAGTAAGTAGTCAACATCCATTTCTCATGGGCACAATTCTTATTTGAACACTGTCGAGGCGTCTGTTTGGGTTCCATTATGCCATTAAAGCTGTAGGTTTACTATTTCTTCCACCATCTAGTGAAGGATTCCATTGTGCATCCTTTCAAATCAAAAGCTGCCAAAAGTTAATGTGACCTTGACAACTCTTGGCACATTCAGCATCCACAAGTCTTCTTTATTGCCTTTCAGTTTACTATAAAGCCTTCAAATTAAGGATTTTTTTGCTAAATACCAACCCATGGTTAGAACGCTTTGGTGCCAGGAGGAATACTATGGCTTCAGTACTAATCGAGTTAAGCAAGGCTAAGTGACGGTATTAGCAATCATTATATGTCCTTGGCAATCTGGTTTTAAGTCCTGTGAAATTACGTACCCAAGCGGTTCATCCATAAACTACTTAATAATTAAGTAGTTGCCCCACGGACTACGCAGTCCAGTCAAGTGATTAATTGCCTTAGTGCAAAATAGCGATGCACTTTGAAATTCGATTGATTAAAATGTGAACTTAACAGCTGTCAAAGTAATCAACGTCAACCTTCAATAATGCCAAACCCTCCTATTGACTAATGCTGTGGGAGAAAATTTTCCATATCATTGTCACGGTTGTTGCCATGGCAGTAAAAAAACACGTCTTGAGAGGTCAAGGCACAGCTGTGTGGCGAGAACAGAATGCAACTAACCCGTGTTAGTACTAGATGCGTGGCAGGGCACATGCGACGCCAAATTTTATCCCAATAGGCCTCCAACTGAAGTGTTACATCAAAATTTCGTATTTTGAGGATCCAAGTGTGGCCTTCTAGTATCCACTAAACGATGAATTCGAGATTTTCAAGTTGGTGTGCATTGACATCGCACCGTCTGCAAAACGAACTGCACTGGAGATGGACCCATTTAATGGGGAAGCACTAAAGGCTGGAGGGTGTTTGAAAGAGAGTATTTATCGTGTATCCATCACTTTATTTAAGGGGTCTACTCAAAATCAAAAGCTGTTCTTCAGAAGTTTATTCATTTCAATCAAATACAGCGTTTTTTGTTTGCTAGGTCTTGAACCGAATTCCGATCTGAGGCTGCCAACCTAAGTCGACTTACTGTTATAAGTAGTAGGCATTTAAACAATCGACGACGTATCTCGTTTTTCTGTTGTGCTAGCTTGCTTCAGTCCATTGACGATGCAGAGGTGTCTCTATAAGAGCTATTCATTGTACCCTGACTTTTCCCAATTAAAAGCAATGCAAAGACACAAACAAGAACGCCTTCCTTGTTCGGCATTACCTATTCACTCCAAGCAAACCTTAGAAGCGTTGACAAGTTGTGCCGACTATTTGTCGGGATGTTTTATTTACGAGCGATGCTGTTGTATAAGTGTCCTGGAACAAATTGTGAATCACCGTGGAAGCATGGAGTTAAAAAGAAATGCGAGAAAGTGGTCACGAGAGCCTGTGACTACCCTCTGGCGCTTGTGCGGCACTCTTTTCAAAGTGTTTACGCAGGTAACACTGATTCTGGACCTGTCTTTAAGCCTCCGAGACTAATTATTCTATCACCTCACTAACGCTGTTTGCGTAAAAATTTCTCATTTATTCATTTTAGAGAAAAAAGTCAGGTTTTTAAACATCACCACCTCTGTTTGGAGTAGAAACCTCCCTAATGCAGATGTTCATCAAGTGATAAATACAGATGATAAGATGATGTTTAAGTTACGGGCAATTGCGTCTATCTGTGAAACCAAGCTAGGGGCATAAGCAGAACTCCAAAACGCCAAAAACGAGATCTAAGCCACAACAAATAAAGTGTCTCTGCATTTGAATGCAAAATTAAAACAAACACAGCTCTTTTGCATAGATAACTTCCCAAAAACAGGTTTCAAAGTCAATCATCTCGCTGTGATAGGCCAGAGAAAGTGACACATTTATTCATAGTTAAAACGTTAAGACTTTCGATTCCATTGCCAGTGATAACTCTTGTCTATTTAGATGGAATCGCAGTTTATCAACTTTGTTACCTACATTGGGAGGATTCGACGATGGTGCAGTGTTCAACTCTGGATGGCGTTTCACAACCCAGTCGCAAATGAGGGAATCACTTGCTATCAGGCAGACTCCACTCAACAAATGTATAAGCAAGGCTAGCTCCATAGTACTAATTTTATTCCAGCACTGCTTGAATCCCATCCAGACATGGGAGACGAGAAGCGAAAAGGAGGAGGAGGTGTTATTCATTCCCCCACTCTCCCACGTCCGCATATAATACTACAGCCCTCTTGCAATGACTGAAACGTCTGTGTAGTTGAACCTATAAAAAGGAATCAACAATCATGCAGTTACCAGAGGAACTAGCGATCACACGCGGCAGCGTTAACTGGTAGGAAGATGCAAAATCCCATAAAAATATCCACATCGAATCAGTCAGTAACCGATGGCGACTTGTCACACCAAGTGACTCCAAAGTGTGCCTTCAATGGAGGAGAATCTTGCAAAGTGGGAAGTCCATTCTTTGGGCTTTCTTGGCTTGACGTAAAACGGCACTAACCGTTATCCGTTTCATGGTGTACGAGGACAAATCTTTCGACTGAGCATTTCCAGATTTGTCAGGGAATGTAATGAACAGCTCGAATGAGATTTTGAGGAGAAATATCCTAAACAATTGTGACACCAGATGTTTATCGTTGTTAAAGTGGCCGCCAAAACCCACAAAACTAACTGGTATACTACTTAGTGGAAAAGGCTGTCAACAGAACGCGACTGATTGACATTGTCAGGCGTCAATAATGTCTATCATTGTGGCACCTTTGCTAACCACTCGGTAGTGTCTTAACCTTATGCCCACGTTCTTTAATTGCGTAGACATGCCTCTCAAGTGCGCTGCATGTGATGAATCAGTATCTGAGAGATTCCTGGTAGAAAATGGGTTTGCGCCTAAGATTCCTCCAAATTTCAGATATGTGCTTGTTTCCTTGTGAAAAGTTGAATTTAGGCCTACTTGCATTGGAACGGCAAAATGCCAAGTTTGACCTCTAATACCATCCTGTTAATCCAACAACACCCATAAGCTGATATTGCACACTGTATAACTTGTGCGTTGGAGTAACCTAAATGAGAGAAATTGCCACATTATTTCCACTGCCCGCAACTAGCTCCGAGAGAATTCTAACTGTACCTGGATCTCGGCTAGAAGGTAGCATCGTCATGTTGATTACGAAGTAACGTCGGAGGCCCTAAGGTGGGGATAGAGATGCCTGACCCGGATTAAGCGCTGGGATGAGTGTATAAACGTAGCAGGCCACCTTGTTGATAAAATAATTGGGGCCTTTACTCCTTTACAAATTTAATATTCCTGTTTGATCGGAAAACCTCCATGCATGGCACTTTCGCCCTTTTTCATTTTCTTTCAGTAGAAATACGAAACTACATGCTATGGGGTGATGAACTTCTCTCATGGGCTCTCCAATAAACTTGGTACGGAGAATTCACCGTGTGATTAAGCTTCAAAGAGTGTGTCCGTGTAAAATGCACGAGAATTCCCGCGCAGAAACACGGCGTCGGCCACCAACAGTGACCTCCTAACGCGACGTCTGGCTTGGTCCACATGTCCTTTCCGATAATTGGGATTACTTACTTTCCAAAGCCACCTGAATTTCACTAAATTCATTCAAACGGAAGAAATCATGGACAAATAGACTTTACCACTGAAGACCAAATTACAGCCCTGACAGAAGTGTTCAAACCGCTTTTTACTGGCCCACTTATTCACTAATCGTCTTTACCTAGGCTTGGATTTGCCTAACCCTAACAGCTAATCTGGGCGACACATCTTATGTGCTGCTTTGTTGTTTTTTTTTGTTCTTGGAAGCTGTTGTCAAGTTCAGGAGGTAATTAGACAATTTCAGCGTTTCAAACGGCGTCGATGTGCCGATGCACTATAGAAAAGATATTCAGACCCTCATTTACTAGGTAATAGCGCAGAAGAAGGGCTATAAAATAAGTAGACCTATTTATTTAGGGCGGAGATAGAGAAAAAATCCATTTACCCTAACACCAAAAAGAGCACAGCTATGTAGGGCGTTAACTTCTCCGCCCATAACGCAAGGCGCGAAGCGCTAGCCCAAAAGTGGCATAGACTCATCGGTTCGCCCAATCAGACGCTTCATTCTCTCATTGGTCGCTTCCAGCCAATTATCTTTCAGAAGGGGGGTGCAGTGATTCATTCATTAGCCAATAAGGAATTAGAGTATGGACAGTGGACACACCAGAAGAAAGCATAAAGATAAGCCATCCATGCAGTTCCCGAAGTTCGTAGTTGCCAGTTTCGCGTTCGGGCGTTTCCGCCTTGGATTATTTTATTTTTTCACTACATTCCTTTATTCATTACTAATGTTCAATGGATTGTAAACCATCCCTCGCCTCCCCATCAGGGCTGGATGCAACAGCAGAATCCGTCATTTCGGATACTACCCACGTCCCCCGAATTCAGGAGAACGGGGAATCAAGTGGGTGTTTTTCATTTACTACATCCTTGTCTTGAATTAATGATACAATGTGTTCTCGCATCGTTATTAATGTCCTATCAAACCACTGTTTTCAAAAGTATTTGATAAATGCCTTCTTTTTCGGACACATTTTGGTCACTCAGTGTAGACTGCTAACCAAGTATTTGCAGACAAGTTGCTTGCATTGAGACTGACTTGGCAGTCTCGTAATTCTTGTGCATGTAGAAGGCGCTACTGTGCTGGCGTATCTGGAGAGGAAAAAAGCGTCGACCACCGCTGTTGCTGTGTGGAATTTGCTTTACTGTCTACCCCACTTGCAGATGTTTCGCTGGCATTCATAAGACAGCAAACAGTGACCAAATGTGTCCTCTTTCCTGATCATGCACACCAATTTGTTGGAGATGCACACTAGCCGAAGTGACTTATTTGGGAATTAACAACTTCATAGCTTTTTGAGTGTGCGTTTCCTGGTTAGCTCACGTAAAGTAAATATCTGATGAAAGGCATGGACGAATTTTCTGACCGATATCTGTTAGGAAGGTGTGCATACTGCCGACGGGTTCGACACGTTGAGAGCAGTTGGTTTCATGAGCCATGGGATTAGGAAGCTATTATTCATTATATTTTTTTACTCTGAGGTCAGTTTTGAGTTATTAACCATAAATTTACTTGAAAACAAAGATGGGGCCGCGAGCAACTTTCCCAACCCAGCAGAAGCTGATCAGTCAATTCTTTCAAATGGGACTTTCCCGTCAACCGTAAGTACTCGGAATTACTGTATTGCAGTCGTGCCAACATCCGTGGCTTATCGTGGTTAACAATAATAATTGCTTTGAATAGCGACCGGATAACTTGCTGCCCTATGCGGCTACCGGTGCGCTTCCTGGAGGAGACGTGGAAGCAGCCGGATTGGTGCCTCGATCTAACGGTCATGCGCCGCCACCGTTCCCGACTCCAAGCCCCGGTGCAGTCACTCTTGGCGGTCTGGATGTGGCACAACTCGCGGGTCTTTACCAACAGATTATGGATCCCGTGACGTTAACTAATTTCATAATGAATTCTACCGCAGCCGCCACCGCTCCTGCCAATAATGGCCAGAGTCATTACCTGCCCTCGATGTACTCTGTAAGCACATCCATTGACGACATTCACTTGTTCCGGGAGTAAATGCGAAGGATGTCTTACCAAAACGGGTCATTGCCGACCCGAATGGTTCTGTAGGTTTTATGCATTTATGTGCACCCACCTATTCTACCACTTTAGAATTCCACAACGGTTGCACAGATCCAGCCTGTTCAACAACAGGTTGAGAATGCCTGTTCACCCATATTGACGATTCCATCTGAAACCTCTTCGATCACAACTCCATCGCCGGCTGCGGTGATTCTTCCCTCAGTATGGCAAAATCAAGCTCCTACGATAAACGGTAATGCCGGACCGTCCAGCACCAGTGCGGTTGCGGCGCTTGGCGCATTTTACGAGGCCATGAGAAATCAGCCTATGGTGGTACAACCCACCGCCTTTCCGCAACCATCAGCATCTCCCGGAGGTTTCCATTTTGATCCGGCTGCAGCACAAGCCTTGGCGCTTATAATGGCGCAGCAAAACTCACAGCAACTCCTGCTGCAGCAACAACAGCAGCAACAGTTCTCCGCAAATTTAGTTCAGAATCCCCATTTTTCCCCAAATGGGGTTATGCTATCCACATTACCAGGCATTACTCCTAACGGCGCAGGTAGGTAGTCGTTCAGTATCCCTACTGTGGAAGTGCTGCCTCTTATCCATCGCCATGCTTTGCTTTCAGTTGCTCGACCATCCGCGCTCAGCTATCCGCAGTTTGGATTGAGTGGGTTTTTACCTTTTTTCCCTTCCATTTGCCCCCTTTGAAATAAGTTCTTAATGAATTGTGTCCCTTTTGCCTCCAGGTGCAGCGGGTATTCAAAACCTCGCCCAAGTGTTGGCAGCTCCTCTTCACCAACGACCGGTTGGGCGTGAGCAAATGCCAACTGGCCCTGAAGGCAGCAATTTGTTCATTTATCACCTCCCGCAAGAGTATGGCGATATGGACCTGGTGAATCTGTTTTCGTCGTTTGGACAAGTGATAAGTGCGAAAGTGTTTGTGGATAGGGGAACAAACCAAAGCAAATGCTTTGGTACGTCCTTGTGCCATATTTGGCACTTGTTAACTTCTTGCCCCACCGTTGATGGTTGATCAAAGGGGGTTTTTTTTTCCTAGGCTTTGTGAGCTACGATAACCCTGTTAGTGCCCAGCGAGCAATCGCTGAGATGAATGGTTATTCAGTGGGTCCGAAGCGATTGAAGGTTCAGTTAAAACGTCCCAGAGGTGAGTTTGGTGTGTAGCCAATCCCGTTAGGATTATTTGAACTACTTTTTATGATTATGGTTGCTCGGAGTGCCAATTTGTTAAACAAACTTTCCTCTTTCGTTTTATCTAGCCCCAAATCAACAGTAATGCCAACTCCACCTTATTTATTCCGATTTATTACCGCAACTTTTTTTACCGAAAGAACTGTTGCTTTTAAAAGTGGAGACATAACTACCTCGTAATGACAATGATTTTATAAGTCCATGAGTGAGTGATCTGTTACACCCATAGGCTCTCGTTCTCAGTGTCATTTCTCCGTGTGTTTGTGTGCGTGTGTGTGTGTGTGTGGCTTTCTGCCTATTGTCAGCGTAAACATTCTATCCTCCTCCAATCTCCCATTGTGTTGCACGGCTATCGTTTCTTTTTGTGATTTATATAAGATTTTGCTCATTTGCTTGCCCTCCATCCTTGTGTGTGTGTGTGTGTACGGCTCCTCCTTTCCGTTGTGGGGATTACTCCTGACGAAGAGATAAAAGTCACTGACGCCCTCGTCTTCCCTCTCGGATATCGATGCGTGTCTGTGTGTGCTTTCTTGTTCCTCTCTCCTAATTCTGATCGCACTATTCTGCATGGCAATTCTGTCATAGGTATACGTTGCGTATCGCTATTGCCTGTCCCTTATAATTCGGGTTTCTTCCTCTGTTTTAGGTACTTCCCGACCCTACTAACCAATGCTCAATTTTATATAAGATATCATTTGTATTTTGTCTATGCGAAATAATTTAACCAATTTAATGACTAACTGCGCGGACGCATGTAACAGCGAGTTAAGCAAAATAAACCTTTTTTGACACCACTTTTGATGACGCTTCATTGATGACCTTATTGGGGTTGAGATAGAGGCAGAAGAGGAGGAGGAGGAGGAGGAGGGATGTGGGTGACATTGATTAGCGGTCATATGCATTTAATTTTTTCCAAGTGAAGCCTCTATCGAAGGAGGGCGTGGGCTGCTAATGTCTATAAAGTAGCTCAAGGTCGTCGTCGTGATCGCGGTGGAAGCGTGGGAATGGGGAGACGGTTCGACTGATCGATAAGTCCCGCCTTGTGGGTGCACAGCGTGGTTACGCGAGTCTGGTGGGTCCTAGTTTGTGCCATAGGCTGCCTTAAGGGCTATCACTGTTCTTTCCTCAACCTCCAAGCTAGCGGAGTTTGGAGACTAGTGTGACCGTGGAGAAGGCCGTCTCGTCCTTGAGATCCCAGTTCTCGGGATCTAACCCTTCCGCCTTTTGCAGTGTCGGTTTGCTCTCGATCAAGCTGTCTGGGTCCTCTTAGTCTACTGTATCTTGTGGAGCCCGCTTAAAACTACCACCTGTAAAGTGGAATACCCGTACAACCATTGGAGAGTGTTTACTCGTTACTGGGTTCCGTTTCCACGGTACCACTACTGCGCCTGATTGCAGGCTCATTAAGAGACTGATTCCCTGATCTTTCTACTCGTGCTTGCAAGTCGGTCATTCCGTTTTTTCTCAAATTTCGGATCCACTACGTGGGTTCTCTACTTGCACATACTGCGCTTGGTACGGAGTACCATACACACAAGTGTATGTGGTTAGCGTGTACATATTTACCGTCTCTCTCGATGGCCGTTTGTTCGGTGTTGATATTGTATAAAAGGTGTGGAGTACGTCCCTTTAACAAATTCGTGACTCACATGGCTATGTCAATGACCCGATTTAACCCCTAGTGTTTACTTTTGGGTCTCATTTCACTCCGCATGTGTCAACAGCGTTTGTACATTGTTTTAAAGACCAGTAAATCGTGATATATGATAATGAACCGGTTGGTACTTCCCGGTTTAGTCTCGGTACATGAAGTCCTCAAACTAGGACGCTTACCGGTCTTCAAGGTACCGCAACTCACGTATGAGCGCCTGGATATCAGTGGAAGCTGGCGTGTCTCGTCCCCTAATGCAGCTGTTAGAGGCTTTATCGGCATAAATAAAAGATGGAGACAATTAATCATCCACCACTCCAGGGTTTTTTGTTCTCACCTTGGATGTAGAAAGGGTTCGTTTAATTCTCACACAGCATGTCATCATCTTGACACCCTGATGGGCACGGGGAGAGAACTGTGTGGATGACTAGCGAATGGAAAGATTGGGCAAGTCCCGAACAAGCGATTCCCTCCTCTACCGGGCTTCATAGGCCAAACCCGACGCAAAGTCAATTAATCCTGTCCAAAATAGGAAACGGAATGGGTGGCCATTGACTGCAGCTCGGCTCCTTTTTCCCTCCATGCTCTGTGTTTGTCTAATAAATGGGACAGCATTGCAACATTGTCGCCATGGCATGTACTTACGTTGGGAGCTCTTTTTCCTACGAAATTACTAATGGGTCCCTCAGCTACAGACACGAAATGCACATATTTGTTGCGTTTACTTATTGTTTTCTTTAAAAACTAGCACAAATGCGAACACACACGAACATTTTATGCATAAACGAGGGAGAAAGGGAATTTTCTTATCCCTGGGGAATTTTGGCAATGTGCTTTGGAGAATGAGAAACTTCTTTATTCCAAAAGCCTGCATTCCATCTTTTCCCCCCTTCGTTGTGGTGCATACTTCCTTCCCCATTGAACCCATTCCAATTCTCCTCTTAAAAGTTCCTATCTCACACTAACCGACTGATTCGGTACTACAATAAAGCTGATTGATGCTATTCTAGAGGCAAAGAGGCAAGGTTTAAATATTTTTTTCTTTTAAAAATGTGAGCCAGATGGGCATAGTTTTACCTGCCTCAAAACTTACACATGTGGACACTATTTAACACCCGAGATATCGTTTTCACGTCGACCGCCTGAATTCTCGCACTCCTTAAACAGGCGTCCATGTGCGTGACCTTCTTCCTTCATTCATCCATTCATTTACATGCCACATTTTTTCTCACGGCCAGATGAAATTTGTTCATCTGGACTAAAAGGTGGAGGAGGCTGTTGCATTCTCCGTATTTAGTCCAGATTTTGTTTACAATATCCCTCGTGTAAGTTACTATTGCCAGACCTAAAGATGGCTGCATCTATGGACGTGGATTCTGCATGCAATCTGCAGTTTTTTTTCATCCCCTCCTCTAATTTATAAAGGATTAATCTGTCGGCCAGTTCATTTAGCCTCGTCTTTGTGGGAATGCTAGTTGTGAGTCATGGAGAAGACCTCCCGAATTTGTAAGGATGAAAGTCGTGTAGCGGAGGAAAAGGCAACTCCACCTCCCCTTTACTACATGTACATATGTCACTGACTCGTACTGCATTTCATCTTCCTCTTGCAGTCAAATCGGAGGTAACATTTGTTTATTTCAACTTTATTTCCGGCAATATCACTTCATAAAGGTCAACTGACTTTTAATGTCAGTAAATGTAGAGAATTTTGTACTCCAACTGCCCATCGGAGCTGTAGAATGGAAGAAGGGAACGGGTACCAGCGCTCACACTCGGTATAATTTGAACATGTAAACATCAAGTAAATTCACTTATGCACAGACCCATTTACAGAAATAGATTCTTGTAAGTTCTGTGAGAAGTTTTGGAAACAGGAATCGGAAGCGTTTCATTACTGCCATTAGAGCAACTTGCTGTGAAATTGCCTCTCTGCTCTGGTGGATAATTTACCAAATCCAGGGAAAGAGGAGGTGGGATATGATATTTGACCTATGAGGCCCAATTTTATTCCATACTCTTTACGGATCAAGTGAAAATAGAAGCCTAAAAATGCCGCCTTTCCCTTTGTGGATGCTCCTATTTACCCATCACAACTTTCTCGGGCTCCGAAGTCTCCGAGTTCACGGTTGGCGAGGACAAATTTTCCTCTCCTAGTAAAACAAACCTAGGTCCCCCTCATTCTATGATTTATTTGACCTCTCTAGAGGGGGGAATGGTGATGTTGGGGGAAAGGGGAGGACGACTAATTGGGTAGGCAATTTACCACTGTTCTATAATTTTCCTTTGATTGCAATGAACCGACCTTACATTTATTACTCAGGTCAGATTGACGTTGCTCTTTTACGAGGGGAAGTTAATCAACTGCTTTAGCGGCAATCGAGCGTCTCTCGACTCTTGAAGGGCCAAAAGTTTATCAGTCATCCAATTCACTCATTGTCTATCCATCGATTGGATGGCATCGTTATTTCCACAAGAGCCCGTCACAGTTTCTTGTTGAAACGTAAAATGCATGCAATTGTTTATAGGCATGCATAATAAAGCATGGGTGAAAGTGTGTCATCCTGCCGGTTCGCTACTCTTTGTTGTGCTCGCTAGCTTTATGTTCTTTCCAACCTAAGCCTCCAGCTTGCAACGGCAGGTGAACCTGATAGATGTGATTTGGGGGGCTAGGGGCTGGCTTTACGAACTGAAGTTAACTCCATTTTTACAATATCCCCAGAATGTAAGATTGTAGCACATACTGTCCGGCAAACTGGTCAAAGATGGATGGAACATCTACGAGAAAGCTCTCTTCTTGATTAGAATAGATTTAAATTAAAAATTAATGTGTTGGAAGAAAGCGTTTAGTCAAGCTTAACTTGGTGAGTGATGGAACCATTCCTCTACACCTAAATCAGCCAACCAAATCGTGTAAGCAACTAAGCAAGTGGGTGCCGCCCAAATTTCATATATAAACAGATGACGGTAAGCTCCCTCACCTCCCTCTCGTGAGTTCTAAAAAGGCAATATTGTCAGTTCTAAAACACCTCAGGAGAATAAACAAGTTTTGCATTTGACCCCTGAGCTATCCAAACGGTCATATCATTGGCTGTCTCAAGACGATCTACTCAGTACTCGAGGCGATAAAAGTCAAGATAACACGATGATTTGTCAAAAATGACTTCTCCTTTGGAGACAAAGAGGTCCAGCCAATCAGTGAGGAGATAGGAAAACTTAGGATTTCACTACTCAAAGAGCCATAAACATAATCCCGATATTTGCATTTTAGGATGTGATGGGTGAGAAGAGAGGAAGGACGAAAAGCCTCTCCAATTGCATTCTC